TGATGCTAGTACCATGCTGGGCCTCTTTTTTATCCTCAGAACCACCTTAAATCTTCTTACCATGTATTTATGTATATTTCTTAAGTATGCACACAAATTAAACACAAACGAACAAACGATCAAAACAAAAAACAGTGAACTTGATTTGACCAACACAACATGCACAACATGAGACTATACTAATAAATTGAACTTCCTGTGTTTCTCTGTGGTTGATGTGAACAGTGTGACAGATATAGAGGACAGCCCTCCTTCTTCCTCATCTTGATTAAACATGTAAGGGCAGCTTGAACAGTGTTGTTGTTGGCTTGATTAAAAACTTTTTTAATCAAAAATTAAAATTCCACAATGTCATGGCAATAATTTAATTTAATATAACCCACTAAAGCTAAGACTATGGTCAGATATAGATATATAACAACACATAAATTCCAAAATACTGATACTTCAGACTACAGTATTCTTTGATGTGAAGTAACGCACCGCCCAGCATCAATACAGGGAACAGAAACTCAGTATACAAACTGCACTGCACTGAAGAAAACCCCATTAGTGACACAAATTAAAAACAACCAGTGCCAATTTAGATCCTTTTCTGTCTTGTCCTAAATGCTGTCAGCAGTCATATTCTGTGTACAGTAAAACTTCTCCTATAATCATTAATTGTGAACTTTTCTAAACATAAATAATATCTCTATTTTTCACACATACTCCACTGTATTAAGTCTTTTTGTAGCTAATTGATTTCAAACATGCTGTTTCTTTGGGACAGCAGGCATCAATGCTCCACTATGATCGACTAACACTGAACTCATTATGTCATCATGTTTTGTATTTCTTCTGTTATGTTTCTTCTCTGTCTCCAGCTCCTTATTTTTCTTCCTACGGTTCTGGTTTTCTTCAATTGGGTTTCATGAGCTTTTCTAATAGGCTTGTACCAAGTTTTCATTAAAAGTTCATTATTATGAACTAATACAAACAACTTCAAACCCCCCAAAACCCCCCAAACAAAACATTAAAACAAACAAAAAGTCACATTTTACACTTTACACACAGATGAAAGAGTAATTTTTAAACCTATACTCAAAGAAGAGCAGGAGGACCAAGATTAGTAAAAGAATTCCCCGGCACATTACTACTGATGGACACAATTTAACGCATCCAAGCTTCTTATCTAGCAGAAAAAAAACAAAAACATATTTCAGTAACTAAATGTATTTGTATTCTTAAGAGCTATGTGAGTTTATATGAAATGCAATGATTAAATTATTGTATTTAAATCACTATTACATATTTCTTTTATGTGCAACCATATAAAATACACGTGTTTACATCTTTCTAACAGAAGACACATAATATTTTCAGGACATGAAAAAAAACAGCCTGGTTAATGAAAAGTTAATAAATCAAATCTATTATGGTGGTTTAAAGCAGCGGTCCCCAACCCCCGGGTCACGGACCGGTACCGGGCCGCGAGAGTTGAGGCTTGGGTGTGAAATGTATGGTTTTCAGGGTTTTTATCGTTTTTTATCGTTAACTCTGTTTTCCTGCGTCTTTTCCCGTGTGTTATGAATAAATCTTCTTTTTTTCGGTACCAGTACTAGTTTTATTTTGTTGTATTTATCCGAGACACCTTAAAGGCCAGTCCGTGAAAATACTGTTGGGCATAAACCGGTCCGTGGTGCAAAAAAGGTTGGGGACCGCTGGTTTAAAGATACTAAATAACTGATGCTATAGTTTTTCTGGTGAGGACACTTATTTGCAGAATTTGAAGTGTATAAAAATCCAGGATTTATTCAGCGGCGGTTTTCTGGTGCCAGCAATAATAAACAGCACAATGACAGAACACACTGAATTTCTTTAAAATCACATTGACAGCATTCTTTGATATTAAAGAAATTTGTCTCGCATTACACAGAAAATGGCTTTCTCTGAGTCAAATTCAGAGAGGCAACAGTGCTAACCACCCGGATCTTGTATGTTTGGTTCTATATTCTCTATTATTTAGACTTCAGGTTTGGGTGTTATGTTTTGGTTCCTGGGACTTATGATTGGTTTTGTGATCTGTGCCTTTAGTTCCCTGATTGCATAGTTGATAAGTGAATTACCTGTCAATCCACTTTTATCTCAGTGTTTGCTATCATCTGTCACTGTGTCAAGTTCGTATGTCTTTGGTTTTGGTTCTACTTCCTGTCCCATTATCTGTGATTAGTGTCAGCTGTCCCCCCACCCTTTGCCTTTTGCCTCATTATCATCCATCCATCCATCCATCCATCCATCTTCATCCGCTTTATCCGGGGCCGGGTCGCGGGGGCAGCAGCCTAAGCAAAGAGGCCCAGACCTCCCTCTCCCCAGCCACCTCCTCCAGCTTATCCGGGGGAATACCAAGGCGTTCCCAGGCCAGCC